CATAGAGTCCTGGGATGTGAGGAAAGGCTCTAGGCTGGGGACTTTGGGGCAACTCCCTGGGGCAGTGGAAGCTCAAACTTGCCCTTGCGGCTGTGAGGCTGGGTCTAGGGGAACTCCGCAGCCTTCTTCCCACCTGCACCCCAGGCCGTGGAGCGGCTGATCCACCCTCAGCTGTGTGAGCAATGCATTGAGTTCCTGGAACGGCAAGTGGTGCAGTACATCAATGCCAGTCCTGAGCGTGGTGGGGACGAGGTGGGCCATGCCTTCCTTCTGGTGCACACCAAGCTGCTGGCCTTCTACTCCAGGTACACCCGGCCCCACCGCCCTCCCCAAAGACACCACTTATCCTCCCGGCTGACCCTTCCCTTCTCTGTCTTGCAGCCGCAATGCCAGCTCCATCCGCCCGGCCGACCTGCTTGTCCTCATCCTCCTGGTGCAGGACCTGTACCCCAGCCAGAGTGCCGAGGAGGAGCTCAGCCCCCAGGTGATCTAGAGCAGGACTGGGGTCCAGAGCAGGTCAAGGTGCTCCTGTGGGGGGAGGCCTTGGCAGCCAGGGCTTAACTTTTTTTCCCTCTTTTTGGAAGCCCATGGCAGGGAACGTTCTCCCCGAGGGACCCAAGAGAAGTGAGAGCATCCCTGTGAGTGGCCCTGGCTCCCATGGAGCTGCAGAGAAGGACTCAGATGACCAGGTGAGGCCATGAGATCAGGAGCTGTAGGGTGGTATGCTGGAAGGACTGCCTGGATTGCTCCCATTGCTGACACATCCATTCTCAGTGGCAGGACACAGATGATCAATCTGTGCCCGAGGTCTACTACACACCTGAGCCCTCGCCAGGCAGGCACAGCACAGGTGAGTCCCCAGCTAGGCAGCAGCCCTGCCGCCTGCCCTCAGCCCTGCAGAGGCTCTGGGGCTGTGAAGGGGCCTGGTGGGAAGGGCAACCTGCTATTGTGTTCCCTGCAGGCAGTGAGAGCTGGTCAGAGGGTGCTGAGATGCTGAGCATTGGGGAGGCAGAAGCTGCAGATGTCCAGGTGAGCACAGTCCTGCAATGCCTCCCAGCTCCACGTCTCGACAGCCTGTCCCGATGCTCTTTGTGCTCTTTGCGGTCTCCGGTCTTCGGCACTCGTCTCTTGCTGTGCTGCAGCTGTGGGTACCCTGTGTCCCACATGTTGTGCCTAACTGTGCCCTCTCTGAGGCGTTGCTTACAGTCTCCCTGTCCAGAGCTGTCAGCAGAGAGAAATCAGGGCTGCCTCAGAGCAGTCCAGTGTCTCCCTCTGCTGCCTCTGGGCTTTCTGGGCTGCTTCTGTGATGGATGCTGCAGCACTTCACACACTGCAAGTAAGCATTGGCCTCACTTTAAGACATTTGCAACCTTTGTCTTTCTGTCTGGTGCTCTTTTGGGGTTCCTGGGCACTTCCCTTGCTGCTGATCTTCTGTTGCATGGCCCCTTCAGCTCCTTCAGTTCTGTCATGCCTGGTTGCAGCTTTCAGGGCATTGCCATGTCCCTACAGAGCATCCCGGGTTGGTGCAGGCTGCCTCATACCCACAGGGGGGCTGAGCATCTTCTCTTTCTCCCCAGATGGCAGAGGACTTGCTCCAGACCTTGGGGCCTCTGGTCCCTGAAGCTTCAAACCCCAGAAGGATCTTCTTGGATGCCAGCTTGCGGGAAGGTTACTGCCCCTTGCTGCCACACACCATGCACTGCCTGCCACTCTGGCCAGGCATCTCCCTCGTGCTACTGACCAAGGTGAGCTGCCTCTGAGGTCAGGGAGGCGATGTTGGACTGAGTCTTGCCTGACCCACATTTCCCTTCCCTGGCAGGGCCCCATGACCCAGGTAGCTGTCACCTTATACCAGTTGCTGGATGGGTTCTTGGTGCTTGAGAAGAAGCTGGAAGAGGGGCCAGAGGCTGGAGTCGCACGCTCCTACCCGTTCCTGGCCGAGCTGCGGCAGCGCATGGACAAGTTTGTGAAGAAGCTGAGTGGACAGGACATCCAGGTGGGAGTGGGAACATGAGGATCCTGTCCTGCTGTCCCCACAGCCTGACACAGTCCTGTCTTTTTAGTTGCAGAACACCTGGTTGGACTTCAAGAACAAGATATTTTCCCGGAGCGAGCCTGGGAGCTCCTTGGAGTGAGTAGGGAGTGGCCAGGGAAAGTCTGCAAAGCAGGCAGGCGCCTTTTTCAGGCTGGGGCCAGCACAGCTGTCCCTGCAGTGCTGGGGACCCAGTGTCCAAACTCAGTATTCTCTGTGTCTCCTGGCTCAGGCTGCTGCAGGCAGTGGCCAGCGTGAAGCGGCAGCTCTGCTCTGTGTACCGCCAGCTCTTCCTGACCTCTGCTGGCCACAGCCTGTCCCAGGGGCTGCGGGACCATGCTCAGAAGCTGATGAGGTGAGTGCATGGGGTGGCCAGCATCACCAAGGGGCTGCTGCACACCCAGCTGTGCTGGGACTTGGGGGTCCTGGACTCTCACCGTGCTTCTTCTCGACAGGGAGAAGCTGCTGGACTGGCGGGACTTCCTTCTGGTGAAGAGCAGGCGCAATATCACCATGGTGTCATACCCATCTCTGTGGCTGGGAACACAGCCTGGAGAGGGAGTGTCCTCAAGGGGGTAGCAGACGTGGGAGTGGGACCCTATCCCCCAGCACCAGGGTCAAGGGGAGGAGTGTAGTGGGTGAAGGCAGTTTCCCTGAGGCTCAGGGGCTGTCCTGGAAAGGCACCAAAGTTGTTGGACACCCTTAACCCACCTCACATACCTAGAGGACTTTCCTGGCCTGGTGCACTTCATCTATGTGGACCGCACAGCTGGGCAGATGATGGCACCATCACTCAGCGTGACAGAGAAGTCCAGCTCAGAGCTCGGCAAGGGTCCCCTGGCCAACTTCATCAAGAGAAAGGTACTGCTCATGGGGGATAGAGGTGGCATGGGAACCACCAGAGGGGGTGGTAATTGGAGGATTTTCTGCTCAGGCTTCAGATGTCCCTTGTCCTCCAGGTCTGGTCCCTGATCACACTGGCCCGGCGATACCTACAGAAGGGCTACACGACACTAATGCTGCAGGATGGCGACTACTGTTGCTCCTACTTCCTCTGGTTTGAGAATGAGCTGGTATGTGGGGCCAGGAAGGGGCTGAGCCCTTCTGCCCCAGCACCTTCTGGGGCAGGGAGAGGGGCTGTAGGCACAGCCAGCTCTGGCTCCTCGGCAGTCCCATCCCTGCTTCTGCCCTCTGCTGTCATTTCTCCCCAGGGCTACAAGCTGGAGATGATAGAGGTACCGGTTCTGTCTGATGATTCTGCTCCAATTGGGATGCTGGCAGGGGACTACTACAGGTGAGCAGTCACCAGCCTTGTCGTTTGGCATCGGGGCTCAAAGCTAGGCTGGCATGGGGGTCCCTGTGAGTAATGTTATCCTCACCAGGGTGTCACTACAGGGTGATACTGGTGCTGTGGTGTCACTGGGGTTGCACCAGCCCACCTCCCCAGCCTGGTGCCATGGTTCTTCTGTGTCCTTGCAAAGGACTTTCTAAAGGGAAGATGGTTAGAAAGGGGGTGCCTGTGTGCACTCTACCTGCCAAGGCCTCTTTCTTCTCCTCCCCAGGAAGTTGCTGCGTTATTACAGCAAGAACCACCAGGCAGAAGTAGTGAAGTGCTACGAGCTGCTGACTGTGCACCTAGGCATCATCCCCTCTGAGCTTGTGGTCCAGCAGGCCTGCGACTTGGCCCGGCGCCTCTGGGAGCCATCCCGCATCCCTCTGCTCTGAGCTGCCTCTGGCCACCTCGGGCATTAAAGCGGGTGTGGATGTTCCAGGAACCTGGGCTGCTTTCTCAGTGTCTGTGTCGTGGGCTGTGTCTGCAGGAAGTGACAGGCAGCCTTCCCATCCTTCAGCCTGGCAGGGCTGGCACTACCCCCTTCCCTGCTCTCCATGGGTTTTCACTGCCACCCAGCAGCCTCTGGGGACAGGCAGAGAGTGGGGCTGAGAAGTCGTTGGCACATCACCATCTTGCTGAAAAGGGCTTTTCTGGAGCAGGATTTATAGTGTTAGCTTGGCATTGCTGCTTGGCTTTGGCCGGAGCTCAAAATAGTGTAGCCAAACGTGCATGGAGAAATGGTCTGGAGTGCATCCCCCTTCCCCCTCACCCCCAAATGTGGGGTGTGAGGCCCTCAGACATTAGGCAGGCTCTGGGGAGGTGCATCCTGTCCTGTACCTCCTTCCCCACACCCACACTCCCAGGCACTGGTTAGCCGCAGGTCTGAGCTCCTCTGGGAACAGCAAGTAAATCTGAGGCAGCTTATGTGTGTCCCAGGCACATCAGGACTCAGTGCATGTCCAGACCTCGGGCACAGTCGGGATTGAGGCCAGCCACAAGGGGCTTGGGCAGCCACTGCCCCTTGTTGCTCCCATGCTGCTCCCTGGAGCTGAAGATGGTTCTTCCGAGAGCACTGGACCATGACAGGTCCTTTGCCCCATCCTGCTGGGCAGGAATTTGCCAAGCAATAGCACTGGATTCAAAGCCAACCTCTTCCCTAAGCTGCCCCTTTTCCTGCTGTCCCCACCTGCTTGGGGCTTGCCTGCTCAAGGTGGGGCAAACTCACTCTGACCTGCAGCGCTTGGCCCATCACCCCAGCCACATGCCTCTGGATCATCCCTGGAACAGAACAGGGGCTGGAGGAGGGGCGGCTCTCAGGCCCTCGCCTGCCTGCCCAGCACCTTCCTGGAGTATAGTCTGGGGAGTACCTGGCATCCTGCTGATCCCCAGACAGGATCTGACCCTGTCGCCTTCTCAGCACTGGGGCTGGTCTCCAGCCCTGCTGCAAGCCCCCAGCAAAACTGTGCCAGCGTCAGTGCCAGCAGCAGGGGCAGTGCTGCTCGGCATGTGCTCCTGTCCCGCCTATCGTCCCTGCAAGCCCCGGCACACAGTGGCTGGCCCTGCCTCAAGGCGTTCCCTGCCCGGGCCCCCCCATCTCTTCCCCGTGCCCGGAAGCCCTGGGAAGAGTTCCGCCAGGAAAGCAAAGTCCAGGCTGCAGGACTCAGGGCAGCCATGGCCAGGCACTGTGGGGCAATGGCAACCAGGATCCAGGCAAGACTGAACACAGTCTGCTCTTCCCGCTGGCTGCAGGACTGGCATCTGTCCCTGGGGCTGTCAGGAGCACGTTTGACCCACGCCGGGGCTGCAGAGCGACTGCAGCGGGAGTACGACGCGGTGGTGATCGGGGCAGGTAACGGAGCAAGGGAGCAAGTGTCGAGCTGCGGGGAGCCAGCGGGGACCCCCATTTGTCCTTCCGCCATAGCAGGTGGCAGGGGAGTGGCCAGGCAGGAACCACAGCAGTGCTGGACACGTTGCAAACCCCCAGGGGTCTGGCACAGCTGGGCACACATTGCAGCTCCCCAGCATGCAGGGCGCAAAGGGAACATCTGCCTTGACCACTTCTGTCCCCCTCCCCTGCACCATTAGGGCCAGGGCTGTAGGGCCAGTGGAGGATGCCCCTTGTCACCTGTATCCCTGTGTCCAGAGCCCGTTATTCGGGTGGCTGTGGCTCCCCCATGCCTAGGCATGGCAGGGTGCCCTGTCCTGTGGGACTGTCCCAACACTGGACTCTGCTCACCTCTCTCTCTCCTTGCAGGGCACAACGGGCTGGTGGCAGTAAGTACCAAGAATGGCATGCTGCCTCTCCTCTATCCCTGGGGAACAGCCAGGGATTGGGAAGGGTCTGCACAGTGGTCAAGGGAGGGCTTTTGTGGCAGTGCCCATGGGGCTGGGGGCTCCCACAGGGCCCTCCCTGGTGAGGGGGAGCACCATGTGCAAGAGGGTGCTCAGACTGACAGGGACACATCCCAGCTGGAGGGATGGGCAGTGTGATGCCATGCTCCCCACAGGCTGCCTACCTGCAGCAGGCAGGGGTGCGCACAGCTGTGCTGGAGAAGCGCCACGTGCTGGGCGGTGCAGCTGTCACAGAGGAGATTGTGCCAGGTACCCCTGCATGCCCCTTGTCACCCTGGCCCTGGCTAGCCCTGGGTGTGGCCACCCTCCTCCACCCCACATCTTCCAGGGTTCAAGTTCTCCCGGGCATCATACCTGCTCAGCCTGCTGCGGCCACAAATCTATGCCGAGCTGGAGCTGCAGGTATTGGCACCCATCCCTTGCTGGTCTGCCAGCACCTCCCAGCATGCAGGCAGGGTGCCCCTGCTGCAAGGCTGTCTCTGCAGGGTGGGTCCTGTAGCAGGGACATCCCTGTCTTGTAGCGGCATGGCCTGAGGGTGCTCCCGCGGGACCCCTACTCCTTCACCCCACTGCTGGAGGACAGGAGCCCTCCTCGCTCCCTCCTGCTGGGACACAACATGGCCCAGAATCAGCAGCAGATTGCTCAGTTCTCCCACAAGGATGCCCAGGTACTGCAGGGGCACACACCTGGCACAGCAAAGCCATTGAGGTGCTGCCCTGTCCCTGAAGCAGCAGGGTTGCTCCTGGGTGTGATATCCATTGCACCTACCATGGTGCAGTCCTTGTTTTTCCTTCTCTGTCCCCTTTCAGGCTTACCCTGAGTATGAGGCATTCATGGGGGGCATGGTGTCGGCCCTTGACCCACTGCTGGATTCTCCTCCAGTGGATACAGCTGCCCTGGGGAAGGGGTCCCTGCTGCAGCAGCTCAGGAACCTGCGAGCCCTGTGGCCCCTGCTGCAGGCAGGTACATCTGGGGTGCTGGGGAACCCCAATGGCAAGGGGTGTTTTCCAGCACCTGGGTTGAGCAATGCAGAGCCTCCTCAGGAGCCCCAGCTGGGCTGGCAGGCTCTGGTAGGCTTGCCGACCTTGGTCCCACTGCCTGTTCCCCAAACCCAACTGGGCACCAGCAGCCAGCCCTGGTACAGCAATGCAGCTCTCACACCACCTCTCCACCCCCAGGGCTGGCGCTCGGCCAGCAGCTGCCCCGCTATTACGAGGTGCTCACAGCTCCCATCTCCAAGGTTTGTGCTGATGGTAGCAGTGTGGAGCCACCCACTGCCTCGGGTCCTTCCTGCAAGGGTGCTGCAGCAGCTCCGCACCCTAAGCCTGGCATGCTCTCTTTCTCCTGGGCCAGATCCTGGATCAGTGGTTTGAGTCAGAGCCCCTGAAGGCAACTCTGGCTACTGACGCGGTGATTGGAGCCATGACTAGCCCCCACACCCCCGGCAGCGGGTGAGGGTCCCTTCCCCCTGGGGCTCATGGCTGCATTGTCCCCCCATGCCACACTCTGTGCTTGGCCCTGCTGCACCCCAGTACCCAATGCCCTGACTCCTTGCCTCTCCCTCTCACTGCCTGTTCAGCCTTGCCAGGGTACCTCAAGGGTTGGAACTGGGCAAGGGGCCATCCCTGCCATATGGCTCTCCTGGGTGGCCCCCACCTATCCCTTTGCTGTTTGGACACCCCTAACCTTGAGTCAGATTGAGTCCTGGCTGGTGCATGCTCCCTGAACTGAGCTGGCATCCTATGAGCTGGCACAGTCCCATCTGTGGGGGCTATGGCACCACCCTCATTCTGCTCATGCAGGGGAGAGACCTGTCCCCTCGTCTGGCACCTAACCTAGCATCCTGCTACCACAGGTACGTGCTGTTGCACCATGTCATGGGCGAGCTAGAGGGACGGCGGGGAGCCTGGGGCTACGTGGCAGGTGGGATGGGAGCCCTGTCCCAAGCCATTGCCCACGCAGCGACAGCCCAGGGAGCCCACATCTTTGCTGAGAAGGTATGGGGTGCTGGGTAGAGGGGAGCTGCCTTGCCATCGTGCAGGAAGCAGGGATGCTCTTGGTGAAGTCTTGTCCCCTCTGCCTGCCCAGGCAGTGTGCCACGTGCTGCTGGGCAGGGACGGGCGGGCACAGGGTGTTGCGCTGCAGGATGGTACAGAGGTGAGGAGTAAACTGGTGCTCTCCAATGCCTCCCCCCAAATCACTTTCCTGGAACTCATTCCTCAGGTATGGGGTGCATGGGACTGGTGGGGGCTTGGCATGTCAGCATCCCCCCATCCACACTTGCCCCTCAAAGTCAGTCTCTGCACCGGCATATCCCATCCTAGAAGCAGCTGCCGAAGGATTTTGTCCAGAGGATCCGGCAGGTTGACACACGTTCCCCCGTCACCAAGATCAATGGTAGGTACTTTCAAGGACACTTCTGCTGCCATCCCTGCTGGAGGAACACCACTGCTAGGCTCAATAAGAGGCTTCCCCCATTTCCCCATCCTGCTTCCCCCATTTCCCCATCCCATGCCCAGTGGCAGTGGATCGACTGCCCAGCTTCCTGGCTGCCCCCAATGCCCGTGACGGCCAGCCCCTGCCCCACCACCAGTGCTCCATACATCTCAACTGCGAGAACACCAACCTCCTGCATCAGGCATTCATCGAGGCTACCCACGGACACCCCTCCAACAGGTAGGAGCCTGCACTGGCACACCTTGGTTCCACAGGGGAAGGGACAGGACAGTCATGGCAGGTGCTGGGGAAAGAGGTGTGGGGTGGCTGGGTCCCTCTCTGCCTGCCCAGCTGGTGTACTGCTCCCTCAGGCCCATGATCGAGCTCTGCATCCCCTCAGCGCTGGACCCAGGACTGGCCCCACAGGGCTGCCACGTTGTGTCCCTCTTCACCCAGTACACCCCGTCCGTGCTGGCAGATGGTCAGTCCTGGGACGAGCAGGCCAGAAATGCGTATGCAGACAGGGGTAGGTAATGCACACACAGACTCCAGTAACACCAGGAGCACGGGTCCCTGCCCATGGGCAGAGCTGCCCTGTAACTGTGCGTGGGCTTGCTCCCATGTCCCCCCAAGCTGCCCACCAGTCCCTTCATCTTTCTCTAGTGTTCAACTGCATTGAAGACTACGCCCCAGGATTTAAGGCATCCGTCATTGGCAGGGATATCCTGACACCACCAGACCTGGAGAGGATCTTCGGACTGCCCGGTGGAGTGGGTACCATGCGTGTCACCTCTGAGCATCACTACGGTGCCAATGCTGGTGGGCATACAGTCTTGGGCCAGGCACAGCCAGCTCACATAGAGCTCTGTTGGCAGAACATCTTCCACGGAGGGATGTCTCTGGACCAGCTGTACTTTGCCCGGCCAGTACCATCTTACTCTGGCTACCGGTCCCCAATTCCTGGCTTGTACCTGTGTGGAAGTGGAGCCCACCCTGGTGAGCAGAGCTGGGAGCCAGGACCCTTCTGGGGGCTGCAGAAGGAAGGCAGGGGCATGTGGAAGAGGTGTACTACCACTCCCCATTTCTGCTTTCTTGCAGGAGGAGGAGTGATGGGAGCAGCAGGACGCAATGCTGCCCAGGTGGCCCTCAAGGACTTCAGGAGCCTCTGATGACAGTGGTGACACTGACTTCACCAATACAGGCTTGTGGCAGCAGCAGGCCTCATTGATCCCATGCAGAGCCCTGTCCATCCCCAAATTGCTTACCAGACACCTCAGAGCAGCATCCCCAGAGAGATGAGGGTGCAGTCTGGCAGGGTCCCCTGTGCTCTCAGCTGCTACTATCTTGAACAGGTGGCTTCTCCCAGCCTACCACAACCCAGCTTTGCTGCAGTGACTTGTGCACTGTGTGACCCTGGTAAGCCTCACTCAGCCCCTGCCTGTGCCCATGGAAATAAACCTTGGCCCGGGCTCTGTCATAAGCACTCTTGCTGTGATTTTTGAGCAATTCACGCAGCTCCCACGATGCCAACATGAGGGGCTGCACTGTGGCCGGTGCTGCAACCTCAGCGGAGGTGCCAGAGGGGACTGGCACATTTCAGAGCAGTGAACAGGGACAAACAGCTCCTCACCCTCTCCTGTGCTTGTTGATGCAGCCTCAGGTGTGTGCAGGGCCGTTTGTACGGAGTCCTCCAGTTCTGGGCTGGCCCGGACCTTCCCATGGTGCTTAGAACAAGCAGGCAGCCAGGGAGCTGCCTGGGACCTGCTTTGCTACCTGGAGGCCCCAGCTGTCCTCTGTCCCCCATCCCCAAGCTCTGGGAAGGTTTGTGTAGAGCAGACATGTGCCCAGCAGCTCAGAGGCCACAGGAGCCAGGAGTGGCAGCTACTCCCTTGTGCCCCACACTCCCTACTGTTCCCACCAGGTGCTGCCTGCGCATGTTCTGGTTCTGTCCCTCCATCACCAGGGCAGATGCTCCGTGCTGGCCAACCCTCAGCCACAGCAGGCCCGGGAGCCGCTGGCTGCAGATTACAGAGCTCACATCCTCTCCCTGCCCTCTTCCTCCCCCGGACAATGCTCCCGATTCAGCCGCCCACCTCGCCTCCCGCTGGGCCCTAAATACGGTGCTGACAGGCTGAGCTGCTGCACCTGAGCTAGCTGAATCAATATTGACTGGCCAGGAATAGTCCCGCAGCCCTCTGAGAATAGCCCCGCACGCCCGCCTGCTGCCCACAGCTTCCCGCGCACGGGGCTGCCCTGCTGCCGGCTGCGTATTTTTAGCTGCTGCCGCTGCTGGCTGCCCGGGACTGCAGGTGCTGGCACCCAGTGAGCCCCGAGGGAGATGAGGGGCTCACTGAGTGACACCTCAAGGCAAAGGGGGATGCCTCCAGCCTGCCACGGTCACAATGAGCAGCACAACACAGTGCCCCCACTGCTGCGGGGTGAGGCTGGCAGGTCCCAGGTGTGGGAGAGCCCACCAGCCCCCTCCCTGCCATCTTCTTGCTGACCCCAGGAGCAGAGGCAGAGCTGGGAGCAGTACCCAGCAGCTGCCTGCCCTGGACCCCTGCCAGCATCTTCCGGGTGGGGAGGCCAGGGGGGCTTCTGGCCTCACGCTTTAGAAATTGAGCTCCAAAACGTTGAGACGCGAATGAGTCACAGGCTTCACTGCTGGCTGCAACCCTGCCCTTCCCCAGGGCTTTCCGTGGCCCCCATGCTGGGGCTGGCCAGGGACTCCTATCGCAGGAGAGGCTTCAGCATATGCCCTGAGCCCGGACGAGGCAGAGGGCTGGGATGAGGGTCTCCTGAGAGCGAGTCCCGGCGCCGTGCACCCATGCACACCCAGAGGTGCTGGAGCTCTTGCGAAACGTGGCGATGAGCTCACGGGCTATTCCCGGCCGTGTTGATTCTGGCTCCTCCCGGCAGGATCCAGCTGCTTTGACTCCAAACAAACAGCCCGGTGGCCACCGGCACATTCCTGGCCGGTCCCTGGGCACAGCCAGGGCACAGGGTTTCCTGTTTATCCCCATCCCACGGCGGGGCACGGCGGGCGTGTGGGCAGCGGGGTGCCCCGGGGACTGGCGGCACCCCAAGCCGGAGGTTGCTCCCGGGGCAGGTCGGGAGGGGGGCATCCCCAGTCTCCACATCCCAGGGAGAAAGGCTATGCCTGAGGACCTTCAGAGCCAGCCTGGCTCAGGAATGGCCCAGGTGATGCCCTGAGCCCTGGGAGAACCGTACTCTGGACTTCCAATGCCATCCCACAGCCTGCCGTGTTCTCTGTGCCCCCCAAGTCCTGGCCCCATTGCAGCACCCCAAGGCACCCCCTGCCTGCATGCCCATTTGAGCCACTATGTAGGTGGGAAGGGGCAAGAGGTGTCCTTTTGAGGTGTCCCTAGCGTGACAGTTTGTCACCTCCACAAGGTCCATGCTCTGCCTGTCTGGGGGACAGACCCATGGGAGAAGCATCCTCGACCGGGGGCATTCGGTTCAGACTGGGAGGAGATCCAGGCTCACGACAGGTAGGGGTATCCGGGGGTCCTCAGCCCCCTCAGGCTGCGGGGAGGACAGGAGTTGGGGCGGGGACAGGTTTGCCCCAGTGTGGCAGGATACGGCCGGGGGAGGGCAGGGAGTAGGGCTGGGCTCCAGGCCCGAGGCGGGAGGGCGGAGGCTCCCCCCCCCCGGAGCGGCCCACCCCGCTCCAACATAAAAGCGGCTGCAGGCGGTGCTCGGCGGGAGTCAAGAGTTGTGGGAGCCAGCAGCAGCGGGAGCCAGCAGTCGCGTCCACTCGCCACCGCCTGCCCTGCATCGCTGCCAGTCCTGCACCGCCATCCCTTGCCAGGGTGAGTACCGGCGGTAGCCCCGGCGGGGGGAGATCTGGGCACCTGGAGGGGGTCAGCAACCCCACTAGTGCTCTGAATGGGAATGCAGGGGAAGAGATGGGATGATGGAGACAGAGCTGTGTGAAGGACGGGGAGGGGAGGGACCCTGGTGTTTGGCAAAGGATCCAAGCGGGAAAAAAAGGGGGGCTCTGTGAGGCTCCCACCCATGTCCTGAAGCACGGGGCAGGCAGGAAGCAACAAGAGCACGGGGCAATGTTCATGGGGCTGCCCATGGCTGTCGGTTCCTAGGAGGGCTGTGCCAGGGTTGGGTGAAGCAGTGATGGGTGCAGGGCTGGGGCTGAGCCCAGAGGTGGGGTATGCTGCAAGTATGGCAGGGTCTAGTGCCTGCATCCCCCAAGGCACAGGGACAGGGATGTCACCACTGCGCAAGGGGACATGATATCCCTACACCATTGCCAACTCCTGGGGCACAGGGAGCACCCCTACCCTGCCATGATCCCCAAGGGCTCATTGTCAGGCTGTCCTCAGGCATCCCACCTGCAGAACCACGATGGTGATGCCAATTGGCACAAGTCCCATCCTTCTGGTGCTGCTGCTGTGCTGGGTGGCCCCCAGCGGGCAGGACCTGGCCCCAGTGCAGCTGCGGCTGGGGGGACCACGGGGGCCAGCGGGAGAGGGCCGGCTGGAGGTGCTGTACCAGGGACGCTGGGGCACCGTCTGCGACGATGGCTTCGACTTCCACGCGGCCACCGTCGCCTGCAGACAGCTGGGTTACACCGCAGCCATCACCTGGACCCATAGTGCTACCTACGGCCAAGGGGAAGGTAAGGGGCAGGTGGGGAGTGGAAGGGTGGGGGGTCCTGGGGAGGGCAGTGGGGAGGGGGAACCTGCCCTGGGGACTGTAGGTGCAGGCAGCCAGCGGGACGCACTGGATGGTGCCCATGGTGCTGTGATCCCCAGGCCCCATCTGGCTGGACAACGTGCGGTGTGGGGGCAATGAAGGCTCCTTGGCAGAGTGTGTCCACAATGGCTGGGGCATCAGTGACTGTCACCATGGTGAGGATGCTGGTGTGGTGTGCTCAGGACAGCGACTGCCTGGCAGCTCCCCCCAGGCCACCACCTCTGGTAACCTGAGAGAGGTGAGTGGGGGGTCATGGAATTCCCCTGTTCCCAGTAGGGTATACCAGGGAGCAGGTCCCTCTAACCCTTTCCCTTGTCCCCATCCTGTATGCCCTGCCCTCGATACTGGAGTCCCATGCCCAACCCTGTGCCCACTGTGGCAGGTGCCAGGGCTGAGCCTGGAGGAGGTGCGGCTCAAGCCCATCCTGGCACGAGCCAAGCTGAGCATGCCAGTAACGGAGGGTGCTGTGGAAGTGAAGCACAACGGGCGCTGGAGGCAGGTGTGTGATGCCAACTGGACCAGGAACAACAGCCGTGTGGTCTGTGGGATGCTGGGCTTCCCCCGCGAGAAGCAGATCAACACCAGCTTCTACCGGTAGGGATGTGGGAAACATGCATTGCACCTAATCATGTGGGGCAGGTGCCTGGCTGGGCACACTGTGGGGACAAGAGACTGGAGGGGGCGTCAGGGAAGGGCTGCACATATGTGTGGGTGGGCATGCCTAGGTCCCCTTCTTGTGGCCTTGACAAGAGGCAGAGTTGGGCTCAGCAGCATCCAGAGGACTGTAGGTATGGTCACCAGATATGACTGGCAAAGCGTGGGAGAAAGGAGAGGAAAGACAAGTGTCTCTCAATCCCTCCACCCCTGTCTCAGACTGGGACTATAAATACAGCGCATAATGAGCCCCTACCAATGCCAGGAGTCACACAGTCCTGCTGGGACACATGGTACAGCCAGGCTTGGCACGGTAATCGCCAGTGTGAGAGAACCTGACATTCTGTGGGAAGACCTCATGGCTCCAGCTCCTGCTGGGGAGGGCTGGAGTGATGGGGTGGGGGGGTTCAGTTGTGCAGTGTCAGCATGACACCCCCCAACCTCCTGGCTCTGTGTACCCACAGAAAGCTCTGGAATAGGAAGCTGAAGGACTCCAACTCCAGGTAGGACTCAGCCCTGGGCAGGGCAGGCAGGGCATCTTGGGTGGGCACCCAGCATGGATATTGGGTGGGGGTGAGTCTCTGGCACCCAAGCTGACACTGGCCCTGCTCCTCTCCCTCGGCAGCCTGAAGACTCTCAGCCAGAAGAACAGCTTCTGGGTCCACAGGGTGCAGTGCAAGGGCTCGGAGCCCCACCTGGCCCGCTGCCCTATACAGGTGGCCCCACCAGCCCCCCGCCAGCATGCCTGCCCCCACGGCATGCACGCCATTGTCAGCTGTCTCCCCAGCCCGGCCTTCCAGAAGGGCACAGGCAAGGGCAAGAGCAAAAGCAAGGCCTCCCCAGGAAAGGTGAGCCCTGGCAGAGCCCCACACCTCATCCCAGCGACAGAGGGTCTCAGAGCTGAGCAGCACACCCAGCCACTCCATTTGCACTTGTGCAGGTGGGTGGCCATGTCCTGGGGGTGCTGACCAGCTGCTCCCCATGCCCAGGTGCTCCCGGTGCGGTTGCGAGCGGGTACGCATCCCGGTGAGGGCCGGGTGGAGGTGCTACGCCACGGGCAGTGGGGCACCGTGTGTGACAAGCAGTGGGA